AATGTACTTCCCATGAAGGCTAAAAATTGTGTATTATTTCAGTTAACAAACTTTGCCATCTTATTTATATTGAAACATATTTTTAAATAAATGGTACAGTACATTTTGCTCTGGAAATCCACTGGAAATCCACCCCTCTGGTGGGATCAGGATAATCCAGTTTTTTGGGATCAAACTGATCCCAATCCTGTGTTCTCGGTTTGAACTACCCGTTTTGAAGATTTGATCCAGATTAAAGCTTGGATTGGATTTCCTGATCTGATCGGATATGAAAGTGATCCTAATCCTGTTTTTTGGTTTTGAACTCTCCAAATCTGATTTGATCAGATAGGGATTAAAAGTGTTGAACTCCTGGGCCCAGGAGATTTGAGGCTTGGGCGGAGATTCACCTTCCAGCAGGACAATGACCCAAAGCATGCTGCTGAAGCAATGCTAGAGTGGTTTAAGGGGAAACATGTAAACGTTTTGGAGTGGCCTAGTCAAAGCCCAGACCTTAATCCAATCGGAAATCTGTGGTATGACCTAAAGATGGCTGAACACGAGCGGAACCCATCCAACCTGAAGGAGCTGGAGCAGTTTTGCCAAGAAGAATGGAAACAAATCCCAGTGGAAAGATGTGCCAAGCTTAGACACATCCAAGAGACTCACAGCTGTTATCGCTGCAAAAGGTGGCTCTACAAAGTATTGACTTTGGGGGGGTGAATAGTTATGCACACACGTTTTCTCTTTTTCATTATTATTTCTTGTTTGTTTCACAATAAAAAATATGTTTTGCATCTTCAAAGTTGTAGGCATGTTGTGTACTGTATATCAAATTCTCCAAAAATCGAATGTTTTAATGCAATAAAACAAGAAAGATGCCAAGGGGGGTGAATACTTTTGCAAGGCATTGTATATATTCACATATCATTCATACAGAGACAGAGGATGTCGCTCAATGTGCTCAGGGAGACCAACAAGTATGCATTAACACCGTTTGGCGTTATGCATCCTGCCTAAGGACACATCGCTTGTTGACTGCAGGGGCTAGGGATTGAAATACTGACCGTCTATAGCTCCTGACAGCCCAAGTGTTTCTTCTTCCATACAAAACTACATTTCCAATTTGCCTCTGAATGCTGCTAAAATGTGTCTGGCCTACACTCGGTACTGTTCGTGTGTAGGCAGACAGAGCATTTAGCTGCTCTCTCTGCTAACATGCTGCTAACGCCACGGCTCCTGTGTAGACCCGGTGTGAAAATGATTCTGGAGATCAGGTACCTGTAGGTGAGGGCAAAGGCATTTAAGCCTCAGTACATGAAAACAATGTCAGATTGTCTGAGGGTTTCTGAAACTGCCTTTACGACAGCAGAAGCGACGGGGTGGCCGCATGCTACCACTTTTGTAAATTGACTTCTCTCTCAGGGTCTTTTTCCATTCGTCACACAACTGCATCTTTACCGTTTCCTTTGTAAAACTGAGTGCCACACGATGGATTCCTTAGCGTGGTGACATCCGGAAAGTTAGTGCTTTTTGTGTACTCATTTGAAGGCTTTATAAGTTTGGTTAGTTGGGGCAGCTTAGTAGAAGAACACTATGAAAGGCATTCTGAAGCCTGGGATAAAGCAGCGATTTCATTTCTTAACTTTTTTTTCAAAACAATTTTTTTTTCTTCTCAACAAAAACTAATTAAGACTCATTTTCACAATCATGACTTTTTTTCAGAATGGTAATTTTTTTTCAAATTTATGAATTTTTCTCAAATCTAAGCCTTTTTCCAGACTTCAAATGTTTTTTTATTGTTACTTTTTTCTCAAAAGTATAACTTTTTCAGAGTTTTTTTCAAAATGTTTATAACTTTTCAGAATTCTAACTTTTTTCAAAAATTCTAACTTTCCTCACAATTTTTTTTTCACAATTATGACTTTTTTTCAAAACTTAGTGTGTTTTACGGTTTTACCACTTGATTTATTCAAGACCTGGCCTTATTAGTTTCACCTGAGCCCCGTCAGCACTGCAACACTTGACCTCTTGAACACCTGCAAATGTTCACCTCATTAGTTGAGTCCTGCCTATATCTCGCCCAGTCATGGTCAGATTCTCTTGCTTTGCGTTAATTACCTAATTAAAGGTATTTTCTCTGTTTATTACCGGTCCCCTTGTTTGTTATGAAGGTTGTTCTGCTTGTAAACGGTCTGCAGAGTCAGAAACCCTCAAAGTACACCCTGTAGCGAGTAAAACTCTAACACAGACCTGTCTATGCTGCCCCAGAAAGCCTCGTTGGAGATTTTTATTTTTCCGATTTTTTACTTTTGGGCTTAGTGCCGTCCACAATCTTTTCTCAGCTGCAGCTCCGCAGATTTCTCAGTCTGAGACGGCGGGACGCGACGGGGCTCGGCCTGAGCACACACACAGACTCACAGCCAGGCTGCGGGTGTGTGTGTGTGCTCGGGCTGAGTTCGGCCTGGGTTCCGCCGCGTCTCGCTGTCTCGCAGACCCCACGCAGCAACCAGGAAACCACACCAGTAAGCCAGCTCACACTGTCTACTCCAGCAGCGAGCCCTGCATCATCCCGCCCACACGGCACCCTGACCCCACGCTGCATTCTCATCTGTTTGTCATTGCTGGTGTCATTTTCTCGTTGCTAACGCCATTGTAACACATAATCACTGATGTTCAGCTGTAACGGTGGTGGACTCATCAGAACACAGTGGGCGAGCTGACCAATCAGAGCACACTGGGCTCACAGGGGGGGTCTCTTGCGTTTGGTCCACTGTGACACAGTTACCAAATCCAGAAGTCACAATAAAGCACTATTCATGATATGAGGATGTAAAATGAACCACTAACATCTCTCCTTGGTTTGAAAGTATTTAAGCTTTAGGTACTTTTCTTTAGAGACCGTAACCAGTTTAAAAGGTTAAGTTTGCTTCTGGTTTGTTGGCAGTAGTAATTTAATAAATGCAATTTTATCATGTGTTTCTTTTGCACTATGTCTTAATGCTTTCAATCACATTGAATTGCCTTGTTATAAATATATAAAATCCTTAAACACATACAGTCTATTCAACAAGCAACTACAAACATCTAGAACTTTAGAAGTATTTAGTCTTTAGGTACATTTCTCCAGAGACTATAACCAATTTAAAAAAAATTGAATTGGCTCCTGTTATAAATCCCATTTCCACTGAGAATGTCTGTGTTAGTGGGTAATAAAATGTAATGTGTCCCTCCTCCACCCTGAGACAGTTATCACCGACTAACTGCAGCACGGGTGAACATATTACCGCCATTTAAATTTGTCCTCAGCGAGTGCAGTGGATTATTTAATGATATTATTTCGCTTACTGTGGAGACTTGTTTTAGAGTCAATAAGTACAAAGACTGCATTTACAAGAAAAGACAGTCTCCTGCAAAACATGATGTCGATTAACCTGTTAAACCCGGCAGCCCCAGCCCGTTTTCTTTCCTCACGAAACTGTGCCTCAGGGCTTCTTAACATTTAACAACCTATTAATGTGTCATACCCACTTAACGGGAAGAAACTCAGCTAACTGACAATACGAACCATTTTTACCGAAATAAAACAAGTCTCACAAGAAGCGTCTCAATGAGCCCTGAGCTAAAAAATGCTAACGCACTTAGCACAGAACTTACGGTAGAAATACTTTATTACTTATCGGATCTGCACAACAAATAAGATATCAGCTAGTAAACTGAAATTCTACAGATTCTAGGGGTATAAGTATCATCACTGAGCGATCAAAACTCGCGGCAGGGGAAGCAAATGCAGACATCACACAACGTAGCTTTACGGAGCAAAAACGGGACATACCTTTGCTGTTATTCTGATCAAAAGTTGTGTTCAATGGCATTAAAACGATAAAAACGCTGCTGAAGGTTAATCCATAGGTTAATCCAATGTGTCTGTGTCACTTTGAAATGATTACTGATAATCCATCATTCCATATTTATGGTAAAAACTGAGTTTTCATATATAGCTATTATGATAGCTACGAGAGTGTATGACAGCTTCCGGTTTTGGGCATTCTGGCTGCTCAGCACTCATTCACCAATGGGTAATGTTTAGATGGATTTTAAGAACCTCCCCTCAATTCTATTGGCTCTAATGGTTCAAAAGAGGTGTCAATCATCAAAATCGACAGATGGGGTTCCAGAGATATGGAAAATGCACCCAAATGACCCCAGAAGTGGTTTTTTTTCTAAATCTCTCTAAAAAGGTCAACTTTCACTTTTTTTGCATCAAACTTGATACAAGGTACTTATTATATGTTATAGTTTGGATTCCTAAAGCTTTTAGTCTACTATCCCATCATTCAAAGGTGGTTTTCACTATAAGTAATACATTATATAGTAATACATTTTTTTACTATGTTCAATCTGAATTTACTTTGAAATAAAAAAATTCTACATTGATTCTGACTTTTCTACATCTAACTCACAGATGTAACCTTGCTTTGAGAAAAAAGATTATTAATTTAGCCCTTTTAGAAGTGAAGATATGGTCATTTGTTCTGGGCATCTCCTTTTCGAGCCTGAGACCTGAAAAACAGGCTCGGGGCTCACAGGTTGAAATGCAAACAGAATAACATTTAATACGAGCTAAAATAGCATATCACTGCTATGAAATACAAGAAGACATTTTAAAGTGTTAGATGTGGATATAGTTTAGAATTTATAATATATTAGTGTCTTAAATATGGAGATTTCATGCTTTTCTCTATTTATTCTCATATAAAAACAAGGCATTTGAAGGACATCACCTTGGAAACTGCAAAGAATATTTTCCCACTGTTTTCTAACATTCTGTGTAGACCAAATGTTTAACAATGACAATAATCGTTAGTTCACCCCTATGCAGTTTATCTTTTGGATTTAAATGGATTAACACGCATCTAATGCTGTGCTTCACTTTGACTGAGAAGAGTCCAATTAAAACAAACGATGATTCCTTTAACTTCCTGCTCACTGACAGTATTTGATTGTCTTTTTCCCCGTCTCAGTTCTCAGGGTTTGCCTCGTGCTTGTGTTGCCATGGCGATGCGGGAGTTGGTGGAGGCCGAGTGTGGGGGAGCCAATCCCCTCATGAAGCTGACCGGTCACATGACCACGGAGGGGGGAGCATGGCGGCACCGCTCAACACCTACAGTGAGTAACTAATACATTTCATTTTCAATTGTTCCGTTCATGGTATGCACAACTTAAGGTTTAACAATTATTCACAAAACATGTCTCTATAAACACACCATACCCGAAAATAATCTTATATTACCCACCCCTTTCTCAAAAAGAATCGTAGGGAAATAAGAGAAACACAAAAACGTACAAAAAAATACTTAGTTCCCACTTGACAGTTAACGAAAATAAACAAAACACAACAACAACAACACCAAAACATCACATGTACATGACTATTAGTATTTAAAAAAATCTTCAACACAGTGGAGCTACTGTTGTGTTTTGTTTTCATTGCATTCATAAGCAGTCTGAAAGTGTTATTTGAGCCTGTTTGTATTTACCTTATTTATTAAAATATCTCTAGACTGCAGAAATGCCAGTGGTATCGGGAAACATACATGGCATGTTTGGAAACACCTTTTGCTCGAATAAATAATACATGACTAATGTAACGGGCTGCTTTTAGGTTTCATAAATACGTAATTTTTCATGAATAAATTGCAGAAAATGCATTTTTTAGCCTCTCAAAAATGTGGATTTCCTGTTCTGTTTTAAACTGACAAAACAAACATTTAAAGACATCACCTTCAACTCTTACTTTTTCACTATTTTCTGAAATGTTTTATACTATTTACTTATGTATTTATTATAGCATTGATACCAACGGCACATACTTTAGTGTTATCATGAAGTTGCTGCTTAACAACAGACATGGCATGTGTCGCAATATCCCTAGATGGAATAAATACTTTATGACTAACAGGTTGCTTTGTATTAGGGACGCTCCGATCGCCAATGTTGGGGCCGATCGCCGATCCGACCGAGTGGGCGGGGCCTATGGGGATCTTCCATTTAAAGTGATGTTTAAAACTCAGTTAATGGGGCTCATTCACTGGCGCTTCCACAAACAACAACCAACATAATTATTACATTCAGCTTGTTGGATATGTATAGTATTTGCATATATACATGCCTGTTCACAATTAAGATTTAAAGCTGCAATAATTTGTGAATTGACAGAAAAATAATTGCCAACTATTTTGATAAGTGCTTAATCATTAAAGCAATTCTTTTTTAGCAACTGAAAAAGGGACTTTGTCTTTTTCTTATATCATAAATATAATAGTAAGTTCATATTACACTGAATATCTTTCGATCTTACAAAACATTTACTTAACAAAAAACTATCTTCTGATATCAATCGACTGTTTATTTATTATAGCATTGATAAGGTTTGTCTTTCTGTATTAATACAATGACAATAAATATATTCTAGCCTACTCTAGGTCAGACAGCTGAATCTATCATCCTCATCTCGTACATTGTGCTCTTCATATTTCAGTGTTTTCATGAAATTGCTTCTTGAATATAACATGTTTTTATAACAAATGTTCTCCTTTTTCTCTCAGATGCCTCCCTCTTCTATTGAAATTGCAACTGAGGAAGAGGTCAGCACTTATTCACATTTTCACATTCAACACTGTACAATAATAACAGAATCATTTCAGCCGCGTAGCCCTGAGAACACTGGGGGCAAATGTCCTGATATGATCTCTGAAAAGCTGAATTTCTTTTCTATGTTTGTGCTGCAGCTGGTGAATGAGTTCCTCCAGGCGCCCCCTCGCCCCCCTCACACATTTGACATGGGTCAGTTGTTGGAGGAAATGCAGCAGATTGACCAGCAGAGCTACAGGCAAGCTCCACAAAGAGGTACACTTCATTACTTCAGTATTTTACAAGCCGGTTTTTAGGTATTTTCTCCAGCATTTGGATGGGTCAGGCTTAAAGGTCTCCTATTATAGTATTTTTTTAGGCATATATTATAGATCTCTGATATATACAAATATATAACAAACATGTCTATGAGCTGTTTTGCTCAAAATACCAAACGGATCAAACATTCTAGCCTCATATCCCTCTGTTTCACCTCGATCGAGAAGTGGTGATTCTGGGTCCGTAGCTTTAAAAAAAAAAAAAGACTCTCCAGTACAGGTTAGCTCTGAGTGTTAGCGATGCTTGCTAACGTAAACAGAGACCATATTACGTCCAAAACACTTCGCACATTGTTTCTGATAGCGACGTTTCTGATAGGGCCCTGGGATATAAAAACCTGTCTGAAAATTAGCTGATCAGAGTTTGGCCACTTTATGATGTCATAACGATTTTTGGGCTTGTGTAACCATTAGCCAATCAGCAACCAAGGTAACCCCCCCCCCCACCTTATCACCTGAATCTCCTCCGAGAGCACCATTGTGTTCTTTGTAACCAAATCTCTCAGAGGGGCGTGGGGAGGGGCTCCTTATTTTCATCTAAAGTAACAGACAGAGAATCAGCACTTTGGAAACAGTTTCCAAAGTGCTGATTCTCTGTCTGTTACTTTAGATGAAAATAAGGAGCCCCTCCCCACGCCCCTCTGAGAGATTTGGTTACAAAGAACACAATGGNGACTTGAGAGAAAAGACTTTAAGTTTCAGTAAATTCTACTTTAAACAACCAAGTACTGCTGCTTCTGACTTGAAGTAAAAGGATGTGTTTTGTACTTTTCGCTTTTGAACTGTGTAAAAAGTGAGCAGAGGAGCCGTCCCCAAGAGGTTGAGTGACCCCCCCCTTTGCCTTTCCTTCTACCTGGTTGAGGTGGGAGGCCCCAGCTCTTGAAGGCCTTCCTCCGCCTGAGCTCTTATCCTCTCAGTGTCTTGGTTCTGGTTTCATGTTCTCCACTTGTCAACCCTGCCCTCTCCAAATCTGCCTAATGAAACGCAAGGAACTTACACAACAAAAATGGGACAACAAAAAAGGCATTTTACCAATTAACCAGATCCATAAAACTGATGTGTTTCTTAGGAACTACTCTACTCTATAGTGTGTTTTAACAGGAAAAGGAGAATTAGATATTGTGATAGGAAGAATTTAAAAGATTTCAGTGAGTGGACATGGACATGGGACGTGAACCACGGACGGCTCACCTTCAGGGTTTTTGTAAACTTTGGGTCGTCGAACCTTTTGAGACGAAGCTCCATTGCTGTTTTGCCTCAGATCCTTCCCCGGCTGTACTCTTTCGTCCTGTCACATTATCAAAAACAAATGTGTGTTAAACTGTGAGTTAAACATGAGTGTGTGTTAAGTGGCCTATGTAGGTAAATAATAAAATACAGAGTGGGCTAAATATTCCAAAAACAAGATCACCATTTTCGAGATAAAAGTCATACATTTAGAAGTGAAGAAGCTAAGAGTACCTGTCTGTTAAAGTGAAGGACACAGAGAACAAAAAGATGTGGGAAAGTGTGGGTTTTCAGTGTTTTCCTCCAGACCAGGGGCTGAGAGGGCGGTCCACCCCAGGAGCGGGAGAGCGTGACGTCACGTTGTGTCACGTGACTTGAATTTTGAATTGAGCCGTCCCTTATAGATACTGGGTGTTTCTCAATGTCGAGGACGCTTCCTTGGTAGGACATGTCTTCCGAGTCACTTGCTTCAGAAGCGAGGCAAGAATACTTCCTGGCATTCGGAAAACGAAGAGTGGAACAGGCGAGCAAGTGTGCAGGTGTGCGTCATATGAGAGGCCCCGCCTTACATTTTCCGCCACAGATTTGGGGAAATTGGTCCGTGTGCAAAACATTGGGGGGATTTTAAGACAGCGGAGTCAACACATGTGCAGCCTCGAAATCTCTCGCTACGAACTACGCCGGGCTCGGTAGAATTCCAAGTATGCTGGAGATTGGAACAGTCCTTCGGCGGCACTCGATGATGTAGTATGCTTGAAATAGTGGCTCTGGAGCAGCCTTCCTCGACATTGAGAAACACCCTCCATCTCTTTACGTATTAGTGATGAGGATTCTGGCTCTTTTTAGTGAGCCGGATCATTTGGCTCCCAAAGGGCTCTTCATGTTACCACAGTTTACCACGGAGCCTCAGTTTCGCCGATGCAAGGCTCCGGCGCTCGCAGTTCACGCTTGTGCTCCACTAGCACCCCACCGTCAAGGCTCGCCGGCAGTACACTTTCCGTCACAGGAACACGCTTTGCTGTCGGCGAAAAGAATCCCAGCAGACTCCTTTGCCCCTCCAACAGAGGGATGTCCTTTTTTCTTTTCGTCATTTCAAGCGATAAAAACTCGATCTTCTCTCAAATCTTTTCTTTTTTTGGACAACCTTGGCTCGAGTTCAGGGCGCTCCGAGCTGAATAAGGGCGTCAAATGACGGCTAGACGCCCCCCTGGCGGAAACGCTGTTTTTTAATCCAACCTTGCAAAGCGAAGTAATGTGGTGACTTAATAAAAAAAAACGTTATCCCTTTTATTCTCTATTAAAATGTGTTTTTTAAACTCAGGATATTTCTGATTTTTCTCTTGCAAATGTTTGACATAAATGAGAATATTCAAGTTATGTGAGTTCACAACTTTAAGTCTGCAAATTCAGATGTTTTCTCTCAATATTACCCCACTTCCCCGGCTTTGTCATTTATTTTCAAACCACAATGGAATATGTTGTCATATAGTAATCCTAGAATATCTGTATTGTTCTACAAGAAGACTGGAACAAATACAACCACGTCCCGTCCACACAGCAGCGTTAAAAAAATCTTCCAACGCTTCTGCCCATTCACTTTGAATGCGGTGACGTCACTTTGCCTCACTTTTCTCCGAACTGCATTGTGGGGAAGCAAAGCGTAGATTTCCATGAATCTCAGGATTCAAAAGTTGAGCAATGTTCAACTTTTGAAGCTGAGGTGGAAGCGTCAGCCAATCAAATCCCGTTTATGCAAATCTGACAGTACAAGCGCTAGCCAATCAAACCGCGTGTAAGCTGGGAGACAGACCGCAGTTCATTTCCTCATATTCCAAACGAGAAATTACGGTAGCAAATCACCCGGTTCTTTACGACCAGTCGCTAATAACTTACCGGGATACAAACCGGAGGAACCAGGCATGGAGGGAGGTGGCAGAGACAGTGGGTGAAACTGGTAGGTTTTCGACTGTTTGGGGAGTTTATATCCAGTTTACTTCGTTTTAACATTGCTATTGCTTTGTATGTCGGGGCGGGAGATTCATGTGATTGGTTGTTGGTCGCAAAAAATCCCCAAGCTTCAGATACGCCTAGCCCCAAGATTTTTTTTCGCTGCTGTGTGGACGTACCGTCAGGCTGAAGGTCGTACAAGCTAGTCATTTTGAGGTCAGTGCACTGTGTTGATGATTAGATATCTCAGAACAGACATGGTTAAAAGTTACAGGAACTTAATCCATGCTCAGAAATGCATTGTTCACCTTCTACTATTCTCTTTTTGTCTTGTATATGGTGCTCTTTGTATTAGAATGTACCTTAAATAGCTAATAATATAAGCCAATTCTCCTTTGCAATCGTTCAACACTCAAGTCCCTAATCCCCGTTTCTCACCATTCGCTCTCCTTGTCTCCCAGATCTCCGAGCCACAGCTTCTCCTCCGACTGCTCCAGATATTCCTCCGCCCAGCGACCAGGATCTGAAGCGGGGAGAGGGAGAAAAAGGATGAGCACATTGTGAAAAGCACACACTATGCAAAAAATAAAAGGATTTATCCATAGCTAGTTCCCTCTGATGTCAGTGAGGATTGATGACGGATGACAGACTGATGATGATTACAGAAAAGATGAAGGGCTCGTGAAGCAAAGCGTGTTCAAAGAGTGAAACATAAGGGGGAGCAAACCTGCAGCCTCAGCGATAAACTCTTTCGTCCAATCAGCTTCTGCCGCTTCCCCGAGAGCCACGAGTCCCGGTGCGGAGGCGGAGTCCGGACCGGAGAGGAACTCAGCTGTCCAATCACCGGAGAGCGCCAAAGCTGCCACATCTGGAGCTGTGACGTGGAGGAATACGGTGCTTAAAACACAGGAAACTGTTCGTCTCAGATATATACAGAACCTGTCTCTGATTGGCTGAAACACCAAACAGATAATTGCAGTATCCCATAATCCCTCTGTTTCAGCCCTGTTTCCAAAGTGCTGATTCTCTGTCTGTTACTTTAGATGAAAATAAGGAGCCCCTCCCCACGCCCCTCTGAGAGAGATTTGGTTACAAAGAACTCAATGGTGCTCTAGGAGGAGATTCAGGTGAGAAGGTGGGGGGGTTACCTTGGTTGCTGATTGGCTAATGGTTACACAAGCCCAAAAATCGTTATGACATCATAAAGTGGCCAAAATCTGATTAGCTCATTTTCAGACAGGTTATATAAATGGATCAGGACAAAGAGAGAGAGAGAATCTTTTTTCCTGAGACCTTCAGGATCTCTTTACACAGAGCCCCCCTCTGTGTAAAGAGATCCCAAAAGTTTCAGGAAAAAATATGTAGTTGATGTAGAAGAGACATGAAGAAGAGGATTTTGCATAATAGGTGAGCTTTAAAAACAAGCTGCAGCTTCTCTTAGGTCCTAATTCTGGAAAAGGTTACTGAGCACATTTTCACATTTTGTCTTTTCTAAAAAGGTTTTACTTTTTGAGTATTGTGATCATGGAAACAAATCTATGCCAGAATCGATTTCAAATACATCATTAATTTATTAAACGTATTTTTTTATAAGAAAATGATGTGGTAGATTTTCTTGTACTAAAAATATAATTTAACTGAATAACGATAAAAAGAAAATGTAAATGAGATAAGTGAATTCAATAATACTGAATACAAAGTACACACACATATGTACAGTATATATATCATTATATATGAATAAATAATATAAGTGTATTGTAAAAACAAAATAAATAAAATCAGTTTGTTATAATCTTCAACAACTGAAACCTACTAAACATCATTTTGAATACATAAAATAATATATAATAACTAAATAAATAAGATAAAATATGTATTCAACATTTTCTAATCTACACTATATTCAGCATATTCCAGACAGCAAATCAGCTTGAATGAGGGAATAGGCACTTTTATTTGGGACTTAAACTGCAGTCCTGTGCCTTTTTATGCCAATCTGCACATTGTTTACCTGCAATTATGATTATCTTCCACACTGTGTTAATGTACAAGGATGTACTCTTCCAGTATCAGAGTCCACATGCTAACAAAGGTATCCCAACTGTAGCTGAGAACATGACAGGATGTCTGATTACCTAGAAGAGCATCAGGACTGTTTGAGGCATATGATAGCTATGTGATTAACATGATGATTCAGCCTCTATGGAGAGAGACATATGACAAGCATGCTCATTTCTGACGTGGAGCTAATCTGAAGTAAACATTGAATACTGCTTTCTATTCCTCCATCTTGTGACTGTGTAACTCCCTCTCTTGGATATCAGCATGTGAAGGACACTGTTCAGGAACTAGTTGATGCTCTGTATGTGATGACTGCTTCCATTCTGGAGAGGATCACAAATACATGGATCCTGAGATTGAAGCTTGAGCCGTTGACGAGTGAGACTTACATACATTCAATACCGTGGACAATCCCCATAGGAGCAATTTGGGGTGAAGTGTCTTGCCCAGGGACACAACGACATGCTGACTGCAGCGGGACTCAAACTTGCTATCCCCTGATTCGAAGTCCAGCACACTTCCCACTGAGCCACAGCCACCCAGAATACAGTTTGGAACAATTCTGCGCTTTAAGAACACGTCATAAATCTGACGTAGACTTCTTAGGACCTTTCTTAAGATTGAATTTAAGTGCAATATTGGTGA